CTTAACAAAACATTGAGCATGATTTTGGAATGGACAAATGAAGAAAAGGCCCGAGTTCTGTCCACAGTTCATTAACATCTGTAGCACCAACCAAGATAGCGCTAGCCAGTGTAAACAAAAACTGTGGGGAGGATAAGCATAATCTTGATTAACGCTTAGTTTCCCCCCCCCCACTCTGAGAAATATGAAGAATGAAAATTTATGTGAAGAATTTATATGAAGGAAGTCATATGCATTGGATTGAAGCAGATAATAAAGTTACACAGAAGCAAAATATTCAGCTAAGATGAAACTAATATGTTTAGCCATGATAAGATAGAATGAAAAGTGGTACCCTCCTTCATGCAGGGCTAGAAACGGAGCTAATAGATGCTTGCAGCATACAGCTCCTAAATGGAATTTTAACAAGCAAGAAAGGCAAATGAATATTTCACAAGGTAGCCTGGTTCCTGCTGTGCGTTTCATGTCTTGAGCTCTGAAGTTGGAGCCGTGCTTGGAAAAAGAGATGGCGATCGTTGCTTTTACTCATCATTGCCACTTAGATTTCAGACCTGGCACTTCCAACCACTGCAGCATCCTGTGCCTTAATACCAAACAGTGTGTGGTAGCAGGCCACCTTTGGTTAAGAATGATGCCAAGCAAAACCCAGAAAGAGAAAAGGGGCCCAGAAGTCAAGGCTTTCAGCCTGACTGTGATTCTCAAACTGGTTACTATCACACTCTATTGAGGGAAACTTATTGTATCATAATCGCATGCAAAGGAATGCATGAAAATATCATAATACAAGGTCCCTTGCTCATGTGACAGATGCTACCATCTGGAAAGATAAAAAGCTACTCAATGATCAGAATTATCGTTAGGTTGTAGATCAGATTTAAAAGAAGCAAGGAAATATAGGCATTACTATGATTTATTCTGTGAGGTGGCTTGAAGTTCAAGCCTATTTGATGCCAGGATAGAAAAACAGTGTGACTCTGTCCCCCATCCCTTATAGAAGAGTAATGACAAACATCTCAATTCACCCCGCACACTTAATTTCAAATAAACATTGACAGGACCAAAAGAAACTCAGCACAAATGGCTCACAGAGGTGTCCCTTAGCACATCAAGGCACATGTTGGCCTCCGGGCTCACAGGGTACCTGAGGCTCCTCAGCTCCTCTCACCCCACCCCTGCCCTAAACCTCTCCAGCTCAGGGCTTCCCTTCACCCAGCCTCTGATTCCTGTATCACCTATCATTTCAGCCGCGGGCTCTCTTGCTCCTCCCTCCCTCTTCTTTGCTTCCTCTCTCTTCCTCTCTCGCTCTCCTATCTCTCCCTCTCATGGCCCAGTCCAGTTTGCTGATCATGTTTAGTTTGCTGCTTCTCTCCTTGCTCTGGACTCTTCCGGATGCCGCTGGCTGTGCTCTTCCTCATGTCTACAATAAAAACTTTCTCCTCAACCATGCTTGGAGTTGTCATGGTCTCATTTCATTCAAATGTAAGTTTCCGAGTTTGGGTTTTTTTTTCTATTATTAACAGTAAAAATATTAACTAATAGAGACTTTTAAAGCCCTACCTGCTAATAATCCAATTCTAAATTCCACCTTTGTTATCGGAATAGAAATACTTAACTCCTCTAATTCACCCATAGCCTTCCTGTTTAATCAAAATGAGTACCACTATTTGGAATGTCTCACCCTGCTGTGATCATTTGACACAATCGCGTGGTTCTTCGTATAGATTTTTAACCCTAAAGTAATTAGGTATTGGGTGTTTTCTATGTGCAAGGAGTGGTGTTGCATTATTTAATCACAAATATTAAATGAGAATTTCAATTTGATGGAGGAGGACAGAGAACCAGATTTAGGATTAAAAGTCACAGCACTATTCTGGAACTCTCAGTGCACACAGTCAAACTCCTTGGATGTGGAATCAAATGTCGTCCGATCAATGACATTTTGGGATGTCTGCTAACAGGAACCTTGGTGTTTTGTGACCTGGCGGCACAGCTGGCATCTCACAGTCTAGGAACCACTGTGGACAGTCCATATAGACACTTAGAGAAGTCAAATGGCTCTTTGCTGTCCTGGCTGCCACGCTAAACTCTACCTTCACTGCAGCTAGCTGTGGCAGGAAAGTTCCTTCTTGGAAAACTTCTCTTTAGCGTTTGGAGATGGATCAGATGAAGAAACAGGAACAAGTTCCAGATAGAATATATGGGATTGGGGTCAGCAGCCACGCTGTCCTCTGACTTGCAAGGGAAATTCTAATATGTTTGTAATTTTTTTCTTAATGGATTTCTACTTTGCATCAACTTTCTGAATCAAAAATAATTTGCCAAGAAACAATTTCCCTTTTCTTTCAGTTCCCCCCACCACATGGAAGTGGCATTGATTTGTACAATTATGAAATCTTGGGGCAAGCAGTACCTTGATACTATTATAAAGCAAACTGATACTTCTGAGATGCTGACAGACACATACTCTAATTTTTTAAAATCTAATTGCTTAGTTATTAATTTAATTTTCTTGCAACAGTTCTAATTAGTGTTTTATTTTATTTTATTTTTTTCCATTAAGAGCCAAATTGCCTCTTGAAAAGACAAAATGATAGACTCCTCTTTGGAAAATGGGGTGAGTATAAAAATCATGACAAGAAAGAACATAGAGACAAAAGAATTGGACTAGATGAACAAAGAAATATGCAAGCTTACAAAAACATGACCCAAAACAGAAGGGGGAGAAGAAGGGAGAGGAGTGGGGGAGAAAGAGAAAATAAAAGCACTTCAATCGAAACTCTCGCTATCAAAATCAAAGCATTTCACATAGAGCAAACAGGACACAGTTTACCAGTAAAAACTTGTGACCACATTTCTGTCTCTACGAGTAGAGCCTGAAGCTGAACCAAAAAACTCAGTTTCTGGGTAAGACACAGGAATTAAACTTCTCACTGGGCCTTAAGTGGCTGAGAGAAGACAAATGTGTGACCGGGAGAAGGGAAGCCAAAACAAAAGGCTTGCGATGGCACCAGCTAAATAAGAGAAGCCAGCATCTAGGATTTGTGAGCCCGAGTACCTGGTAGGAAGCAGCAACCTAAACCAGAACTCCAGGGATCAGAGAGTGGGTGGGGGCTTTGGCTGCATCCTCATTTGCACACACATGGGGACTCTCCCTTTGGCCAGAGAGAACAACACAGTCAGACTGACCAGGAGAATGACACTGGCCAGGGCTGTGAGATCCAGTGATAATAACAGGCCTCACCACGTACACCAGTCATCGTACGACTGCCCCAGTCCAACATCTAAGTGTCTTGTATCTTATAGACAGACAGTCGTCTGCCTGGCTCAAGACATTTGGAAGGAACAGGCATGGATCAGGAGGGGAAAGGGAGGGAGCAGCTGCAGTAGGCACATGGGTCCACGCTGGGTATGCCCGGGCCCTCTAGTCTAACAGAAAACAGTTTCACCTGGCATCTGGCTCAACACCCAAGTCGAGAGCCGCAGCAGCTAGAGTTGTTGGTAGTTGTTCCACAGAGGAGAAGCCTTTGCCCTTGTTGTGGCCTTCGGTTTCTGGCTCTTTCTGGGAGACCTTGGATTATTTCTAATCTCAGTTTTGCATGGTCCCATAGGAACCATCTAAGTACCCGAATCAAATGTCTCTGTCCACTTCAGATCGTCTTCTGGGAAGAAAATTCCCTATACCTAGACATCCACGGTCATACTTTAAAACACACCTAAGAGAGTGAAATGGGGCTCAAGGGAAATGAAACCATGTTTACCACCTTCTACCTACTTCATTCCTCAAACTGTATTTTTTTTTTTTTGAGTTTCAAGGAAATTATAGAAAACTACAGCAAATGAGAACCTGGATTTAACCTTCTTGGACAGATCTATTTCCTCTCTTTCTGTTAAGCGTAAGTGCTGCTGATTAAACGTAGATGCAATCTTCCTGGCTGATACTTGCTCCAGGAAAGGCCGTCATCTCCCTGTCTTCAAGTCCCCCCACTTCCCACACACTCTCTCTCTCTTTCCCACTGCCCCCCTTTCTCCTTCATGCCCAACCAATTCTCAGCCCAGCCTGGTGCGCCCGCTAAGCATGCTCGCGGAAGTCAATGATCCTGGCACCTTGCCCAAGAGCACGGAAACCGGAGCCTGGGCACTTGGATTCCAAAGCTCCCTCTGTCACAAACTGGCTCTGCCATCCCGTTTGCCAGTCACTTAAGCCCTCTGATTCATAGTTCCCGTGTCTGTGGAAGGAAAGCATTCTTAGTATGTGTTTCATGGAGTCACTGTGTGGATTAGTGAGAGAATGTCCCCAAAGCCCTTGGCACAGTGCCAGGCACATAGCAGGCTCTCACTAAATGTGAGCTTTGGTTATTAATAGTTACCTTTTATTTGGGGCTTTGTTCAGTGAAATAGTGAAGTTAAAAGGAAATGAGAATTCTGGTAGATTTTTTGTTGTTATTGTCTGTTTGTTTTTTTGTTTTGTTTTGTTTTCTGGAAAGAGAAAATAGAGAAGGCCACGAACTGAGGGAGGGAGAAGCTGAAGGAGAGGGGAGAGACTGGGGAGGGAGGAGAAGCTGAAGGAAGAAGGAAGAGACTGGGGGAGGGAGGAGAAGCTGAGGGAGGAAGGAAGAGACTGGGGGAGGGAGGAGAAGCTGAGGGAGGAAGGAGAAGCATGGAGAAGGCAGGATGTGGAAAACCTGCAGAGCAAAGCTCCTCTCTGGTGCCTTGCTTCTCCCTCTTCTCATACACGCACAGACACAAAGCTTCAGCATCTTTAAGTCCTCATGCTCTGACCCCTGGCTTCACTTCAGGGGGAGCAACGCTGTGCTCAGAATCACCGTAGGCAGAATTCAATAGAACCTTTTAAGCCACATCATAATGCGGCCAAACATCAGAAGGGGGGGGGGGGGTAAAAAAACTGAAACACAGAAAAACCTTGTGCAACTTATTTTCCTACCAGGTTGTGGAAACTGAAAAAGCTCGTTAGGCTGGGGGATAAAGCAGACTTTCCTCACCTGCAGGAGTCGGCTTGGCTGATTAAGGCCCCTCCCTTCTGCAGAGCAGCGGCGGTGGAGTCTTTAATTTCTCTGTGTAATTCCTCATGCCTCGCTGCCAAGACAGGCAGGCTTAAACCCTCTGATTTAAGGAGCTTAAGGTAAGCTTCGACTTCTCCAAGTACATCAAATGCCTGCCAAAGAAAACATACTTTCATTTTCTGCTTTTCTAGTTTAAAACTCGGCATCAGTGTGCACACGGAACGCTGGCGATTAAAGCAGGCCATTGAACTTAGTAGTTTGAGCGTAGCAACAAAAAATATCTCAGTTCTGGGGAACAGCTGTGCAGTCCCCGCCTAGGGAAACGTACAGTTTAGTTCAACATAAATAAATATCCACACCATAAAAGTACCAAGATAGCTTATACCGAGAAGACACCTGCACGACGCAGGTAGACACGGTTGAAATTCAGAGTCAGACGGATATTTTGCATATTTTACACACATAATGGATGAGCTATTAAAAATGTGTATCCTTTCATGGCCTGAATATCTCAGCAGTGGAGTTGGGATGGATGGAGCACGTGCCCCCGCATTCAGCTTACTGTCTTAGGGAAGTAACGCAAATGGCCAAATTCAAACTGGACAGAACTGGAATCTACAGAAATCTCTCAAATGCTCTTTTATGTTGAGATTCTCTCCTCCCTCCAACGTCCTCATGTCTTCCAGGTTTGCCATCTCTAGTCACTTAAGCCTTGTAGAGAAACCTTGCTATCCAAGGATTCTTTCTTACTTGACCATGTTTCTCTTGAGGTTGGAAACAAAGCAAAATGCAGAAATACGCTGACATTAGTAAAGATGTTGCATGACTTTTTAGGTCTTTCTATGGCTCACTGAAGCATCACTGAGGAACGAGCACTGTTTCTGGGATCTCACTTTTAATTTTAAATGTGGGGTTTCTTATTTAGAATAAAAATGGAGCTTCTTGTCAATTGAGGGTAAGATTTAAAACCAATGCCTAAAGCAAATTTCTGGCATAGCTAAAATTATCTTGAATTCCCTTAAAGCTCACTTAAAGTTTAAGATTGGTGAATTGTTGCATGTTATATTTATACTTTGCACTGACAAACTCCAAGCTCCTTTTTAAAAGAAAAAAAGTCTTAGTGTCCTTCTAAGACTAGAGGAGGATTGGAGAATGGAGAATTCAAGGTATCTTTTCTTGGTTACAAATCTAACTCCATTCTGGTTGAATAATGAGCCATGCCATGTTTGTTGTTGGTTGAAAATTAAAGAGTAACAAAGAAAGTAACTAAGAATGAGGGCGAGTGTTTAGAAAGTACTCACACATGTTTAGCTACTAGTCTAGATCTTGGTCACTCAAGCACATCTTTAAAATGTCTCCTAGAAGGGCACATTCACCTGTCACCTGCCTTTCATCTTAGGGAGATTTCTACACCAGGCCTTGACCATGGCCTCATTTTCATAGGGGTTAGAAGCTGAAACTGCGAGGCTATTATAGATACATGTGTAATGTCACTGTTCCCTAGTCTTGATGCTATAATAAAGGCATGACATCCCAAAATAATGAAGATAAATTGAAGGGCCAAACATACACAAGAAGTAGGAGTTATATAGGCAAAGATATGATATATATTATATAAACATAATATTTAAATATTCAAACATAATTACATATACTATATAACATTATATATAATATAGTAAGAGTCATATATGGGCAAAGGCAACTCATGAACTTGGAAACAAGTGAGCCAAATTTTCTCCCATATTCTTTTCTCAAACAGATCAAATAATAGGGATACACTTTATGATTTTCTCTGCATAATAAAGCAAGTAATAAAATGATGACAATATAAAGGGATGGCAGGCTTCCTTCTTTCATTAGCTTATCACAAACCCGTGCAGAACACCCGTGAGTGAGGTGAGAGGGATCTCATAGTGGAGTTCATTAGGGTTTGAGTTCGCTTTTTGTTCTCCTAGTAAAACACCAAGACCAAAAGCAAACTCGGGAGGAAAGGGTTTACAGCATCTTAGAGATTCAAGTCCATCATTGACAGAAGCCAGAACAGGCGCTCAAGGCAGGGACAGAATCAGAGACCATGGAAGAGCATAGCTATTGGCTTTCCTTGTTATACAACCCAGGGTCACCTGCCCATGGACAGAACTGCCCACAGTGGCCTTGGCCCTCCACAACAACCGTTATCCGAGAAAATGTCCCACAGACACGCGTGCAGGCTGCTCTGACGGAGGCGATTCTTCCACGCAGGCTCTCTCTTTCCAGATGTCTCTAACTGTGTCAAGTTGATAAAAAACCAACCAGCGCACTTTGTTTTAAGCATCACTGGGGGATAGTTGGATAGTTCTGTAGACACAAACAGAAGAACTAAACCTTTGGGCTTTCAAAGAATTCCTCCTTCAAAAGTATACTCTCTGTGATTAGAATTCGATGAGGAATCCATGTGCCACTTCCAGAAATGACCTAAGCACCACCGCTCTCATCCCACTCATCCCAGTCTAGAAGAGATTCCTTTGCTATGTGCCCTATCCGTAGGGAACTTGATATCCTGGATCTCTTTACTGCAATCACAGCACAGAGGTCTGCCCGGCAGTGAGAACACTGTGAGCCTCACACAGACAACTGGAATTCAAGTGTCCTCTCCCTTCTCTTTTCTTTCCACAGCCCCCTGCTTCTTCAAGCCTTATATGTCCAGGGTTAATCAAGATTTTATGACTAGACAGGGAGGAAAAGATAAAAGCGCAAGGGCCGTTATTTTCTCCTGCTGGATCCTAGCTCATCTGAACCATCTCGGTCCCCCACATTCAGAGGAGACAGGTCAGCTCCTTGGAGCCCTAATTTGGGAAAAATGAAGGAACTGCTTGGCTTTTGTTCTTAAAGGGGCCAATAGAAAAAAACCTTTCCTGTTCCTTTTGTTAAGAGCAGATCCAGGGTCAATCAACCGCACCAAATCAAACATAGATGGTATCAGAGAATGGCGTGTTTTATTTGTTTAAAAAGACTCATGAGTCATCCAGCATAATTCTGCTTCCATGCTGGTTCACAAAGATGCTGGATAAATAACAGTGCCTGATTTTTGACTAATAAATTCGGAAAGAGTCAATATTGGATAACAACAAAATGTCACACCCCGGACAATGACCAAGGACACAAAACTCAACATGGCTTCTGAGCAGGACCTCTGCTCCCACCTCCTTTGGAGGGTCAGGAACCCTCTGGATTGCTTAAAAAAGGACACAGGTCTTCCCTTTCTGATCTTAAGCATCACCAAAGACAACTGCTGGTGGCTAAGGCTGGACAACCGATTCGTCGTTCAGGACGCGGCTGAAGGCGCTCCAGCTTGCAAAGCTATGAAGACCAGGAGCTGGAGGAGGATGAATTTCAGGTTCTTCTTTCCCATGTCTCCCACTACCCCATCCGTTCCTTGTTTCTCAAAATTATTTTGCTGCCCCACTCCACCTCTTCCAGTCACAGGGTAGATGAGTGCTCCTAAAAAGCTGTGTTTAAGCCATCTGTTGCTCGGAAGGTTTTCCTCACAAGTTAAAAAATGCTGGAAAAGCAGCTTTGGCTTGATTGCAGGCATCAGCAGCGTTTTATCAATAAGGGAATGGAGGAAGTGTACATACTAACACCTCAGTCTTCCCGAGGCAAATTCACCTCACAAAGGAAATGAGACTCACGAAGCAGAACTTTAGGCTTCTCAGGTCTGTTCATCATTTTTTTCTTTTATCTTAACTGACTTAAGAGATTTTTAAGATGATCTTTGTACTATTAATATGGAAAATCATGTATGAATCATTTCTGCTTTCATCCCCTGAAGGAATATCCAGTGACATCTGTGAACCGTAGGCTCAACTGTGTGCTGAGGATAAGACTGACCACATTAGGGGGCCAAAGCAATATGAAACACTTATGGATTGGGAGAACAGTGGCTGGCTCTCAGCAAGCCCTTAGCCATGCGGTGCACTAACTTATTTAGGTGGCCTGGTGATCCTGTAAGGACACAGAATCAGGATTTCTATTTTACAAATAAAGATGTCAGGTGCAGGGGGACGGTAAGTACATGTCCAGGCCATGCGGTTAAAAAACGTGTCAGGACAGAATCATGCCCAGCCTGACTCCAAAACCCAGGATATCACTGTCTCAGTCATGCTAACAAAGATTTCTCAATTTCTCCTTGAGGCCCTCCAGTCGACTTTATATTCCAGCTATACCCTTAAAAGCCTATACGATTTATTACCAACCCTAAAAAATTATGGAAAGATATTCCCTGAAGTAAATGGAGATCGTCAGACTTATTTTTGAAGCAAAAACTCAAGTTCAAAAACTGGACCCATGTACCAGAGAACCAGCTGTTAATTCATGCAACATAAACATTTTCAACACTAGGTGGCATACCAAGATGATTAAGAGGACCTCTCTCTTGAACCGCAGGTTAATAAACAGTGAACGCTGCCTGGAGACTTTGGAGGAGGGATACACGCGGCATTCTCTTTTATGAAACCCCACTCAGCTTCTCAGGCATGGCACAGAAGCTGCACTGGGAATTGGTGCTCCTTGGATTTTGCAGTAAGATTTCCCCTTTCAAACTGAGCTTTTCCCAAATATTTTGGATCAATATAATCTCTCATGAACAACACAAGACAGTTTTCTTTGTTGTATGATCTTTTTCCTGGGTGGGGATGGGAACAAATCAGGTGCTATATTAGGACAGACTAAAGTAGAATTCTCTCAAGGCCTAGCATAGGCGACCAATGAATTAGTTGGGCTACTTATAGAACATGGGCTAGGGGTTACTTATAGGAGCGTGGGTGACCACAGAGAAGCCATGCCAATAGCAACGTTCCTGTACCTTCAGAGAGGGAGTCTTTTCCTTCACTTAACTTGCTGCATGTAATATATCCACTCGCTCCCTTCAGACTATGAGGCTGTGTGCATTTAGAGAAAAAAAATAGACAGGAAGGGACAGGAAGCAGTGGTTAGAACCTCAGGTGAGGGGCTAGTGAGGCTTCTCTCCTCTCCTGTGAGAGAGTATCAATCGCCCTGTCTTGAAGGTGTCTTACAAGCAGCCTCAGCTGCTCTACTGAGGGTGAGAGCTATGCTCAGAGAGGCCTGGTCTCCAACAGAGCAGTAGCCCTGAAGTTAGTATTGTGTTCGC